TGTTTTATTTGGGGATGATCTTGTAGGGAGAATATAGATGCCAGTCACTGTTAACCCTTCAACTCCCAGATCAAATTTGTTATTCTCCTTACTGTCAACAAACCAAGATGTTGTATCTCCACAACAAACCAAGATGTAGTATGATAAAAAGGTTCCCTGATTGAGCATTTGGCCCCTAAGAGTGACTAGCATCTAATTTCTCCTTACAATATCACCCCTGAATCACACATTAAGGTCATGAGAATAAAGGAAATGATCACCAGTTAAAAAAGCTCTCGATTATTAAACAAATTGAATAAAGGATTGTTGTTGATGTTGCTGCCAAATGTAAATTCACAATCAACCTATCCACATCCAAATCAGCTCCAATGTGCTTTCTCTGAAGCTAACAATAAAAGGAAAAATACATTAGCAATAACATCACCAAAACTAACCCAATTTTTGGATAACAATATTTTGCATTGAGAGCAATCTGAGATTCAAATTATTAGGTATACATACCTCTTTCACTGCAAGTGAGAGTTCACCAATAAGTCTTCTCTTGATCTCTGCATTTCTTATCAAGTCCTCATCAGTTTCTAAATGAAGATGCACGAAGAAGAAAGAAAAAAAAAATAGAAAACGGATAACATGAAGAGTACACTGGGGTATATGGTCGCAATGGCAAGTTAGAAATTTTAATTTTGCCTCACTTTTTCTTAATTCTTCTATTTTTAAGGAATCTAGTCGAAGTAGTTATCAGTTTGAAAATCTTTCGACAACCATTGCAGGGCAAAAATTACACATTTTATGAAAGGTTATTCACAAAAGAAAAGAAACTCACCTGTAACCCCTGTCTTTTTCCATCCAGAAAACATTTTCGATACGAAGTATTTCGATCGAAATTGAAGAAAACAATAATCTCAAAACAACTCAATCATTATGGATCCAACACGGGTTTTTCTCTTTTTTTAAATTGTCAAAAACTTTCAAATTAAGCTCAATACAGGCGTTTCGTCCGCCATATTTGTTTTGATGAGCAGTCAACTGACCATAAAGAACACAGTTCTTTCAATTTGCCATTAACACCGCTGACCGGAAACGGGATTATATGGTTTCCCGGATGTAATCAGAAGGAAGTGACAGGGGGCTGGACGGGGTAGTGGGTTACACTCTGCATGCTGATGTGGTATTGAAATGCCCTTAAATTATCACGACTTTCTCATGTTTACACCGTCCATAAAGATGTGATGTGGTCTAAGAACGTGAAATTTGCTCAATGACCTGATTTTAGAGAAAATGACCACTAAAGTGGTTTATTTCACTGTGGGAGGAAAGCCCGAACAGGCGGAATTCGCGACCGATTTCCCCGTGGATGAAATCAAAGGTAGAATTTCAAAGTGTTTACATGTCCAGCTTGATTGCCCTCTTTTGTCGGATTATTATCAAGCTCTTTGTGTTCTTAGGGTTATTTTGTTACGAACATCTCTACTTTCTAGGTTTCGTTTCATTCATTGGGACTATTTTAACCACCTTTTTTCCTTTGACTGTTATTGAAAGCAGAATTTTTATGGACGAATTTATCTCCTTGTTCAGTTGACAGATCTCTATTTACCCGTGGCAACCTTATCACGAACGCGCCAGTACGTTCTCGGTTTTGCTTTTTTATTGCTCGCTTTGTTTTTCCGCTTATGTTTTGGATTTTGCATTGTATTTTTCAGACTTGTTTCGTTGTGCAGCGGAAGCTGGCCCGTATGATATTCTGAAACTCTACAACACGAAAGGAAATATAGTAAATATCTCGCCTTCCCTTCAAGAAAACACACCAGATTCGCGCTATCGCCTGGAAGTTGTCGCAGCGAATTGTGCAAGCTGCGGGTTTTGCGGTAATATTTTTTCCTTCAAGCTGTTTTAATTGTTATGGCTTAAGAAATGAGTAGGCTGTCGGTTGTTATGACGCAAATCTTAAATAGCAAATTTGTATTTCTCGCGGCTATTAGTGACAGAACCCTGCTGCTTTTCAGCGAGCATGCTATTACGTGGTATCTTGTATTTTATTTGACAATCTGCCCAACAAATACACGATGCATTTAAGTTTATGTGGCGTTTAGTAGTTCCAATTAAAAAATGTCTTTCGGGAATATTTTTCGCTCTCTGCATAGCGCACGCCATCTAAATTTTGTAAATATTGAGTTACATTTTTGACTCTTGGTTTTTTCACCGAAACAGCTAGTATGAAGTTTTTTGCAACGCAGTGGAGCAAAATTTGCCTCATATATTGTCGCAACGCTAATCAATTTTCTTTGTTGATCGATAAGCACAAATTCATCGAAAATGACAAAGAAGACGGATTGAGCGTATCGTATCAATTTGATCTGACCTGGCACGCTCGATCGGAACCAGACAAGGTAATATTGCACTTCAAGCGAACTTGGCATGCAACGAAATTGGCTTAAGTCAACATTTATTTTGACAAATCTTTCACCGTAACAATTCGAGTTCTGTTTCAGGCCTTTTATCTCTCTAGTAGTTTTCAAACACCTGGAAGAGCAATTTATTTTGTGAGACGTAAATAAAGACGAAAGCCTTAAAATTGTCTTCATGTTAAGAGCGAAAATATCTTCTTTTTTTTTTTTTTCGTCGGTAACTTTTACCTTATTAATTATTTCTGACGTTCGGAAATACAATTGTCCCTGACAGGTATGTGTTAACATTTAATTTTCTTTTTTTCAATACGCTCGACAGCTAAAAGCGATTACTTGATAGAGATCTAAAATTAAAACACATGGAGAGGCATTATTCAAGCTATCATCGAATGGTTGTGGAATTTGCATATTACTTAAAACATGTCTGATTGCCTAAAAGCTTGTAGTTGTATAATGCAAAGCTAATTGATTAGATTAGGTTTGGCATATTGTTCTAAGCTGTGTAGTCTTGGTAACAATTAGAGAAAATTGCACGAACTGCCAATTTTAAAACATAAAATTCTAATAAATACTGCAGTTGACTGTTTACCATATGTCAGCAAGGTAGTATTTAAGAATGCATTGTTGATGCCATCTCCAATTCACAGAATTTATGAAGAAAATTTATACTAACATGTGTAAATTACTTTTGGCAACTTTGTTGGTGATTTTGAACATGAAGTACTAATTACAAAATTTTATCCCCACAATGGTTAGGCATTTTGTTTATTGTTTACTGTAGTAAGAATGGAATGTCTTTGGTAACCATATAGGCTCTTAAAAGGTCAACAATCACTTGGTGAAGTCATTATCAGCTCCTTGACAAGAGAAGAACATATTCTGAGATCATCAGAAAATTTTTGAAATTTCTCATTCAGATAAAAAATTTGTGAACAGCCTTTTCATCTAGGATACTTTGGATTTCATAATGTGTCTTTACAACAGACCATGTCTTTGAGATTGCATCTGTGAGTTATGGGAGCTTATAAACTGTCTATTGTTATGGTAATATTCCAAGTAATAAGTAAGCCTGAGTATTTAAAACATACAATCTTGAATCAAAATACTCTCACCGAAAAGCCCTTTGTGAAACATACAAATTACTGTCAAATGTAAATCAAACTCTTTCCCAATGGGAATCACATTGAATAAATACAAATAAATAGAGAAAATCTGAGGGAAAGATAGCATAAACCCTGCTGAACACAATGAATAGAAAACAACTTTGTTGTTGCCAAGTGTTAAAATCAAAGGTCTAAGTACTGCAGTGAAGTTTCTTTTTTGTTACTGAGTGCAATTGTCCTTTTGTTTTTTTTAACATTAGAAGCAAAATGAAAGGACTGAGAAAGAGACAGTTCCATTCTATAACTTGCAAGTTGCTTTCAAAATTTTCAACTTGAACCCACTTTACACTCTTTTTGGAGATTTCTATAAAGTTTTTCTCTTAGAAGGGAGACTGGGTGCCCTGAGACTCTGTTCTTAGAAATCTAAGATGCCCAGTTCTTGAAAGTGTACATAACTGCAAACGTACACAGGTCGTACACAGGTCACCCAATGGCAAAGATAGTCACTTTTGGCAACCAGGTTTTGGCAGAGTACAGCCCTGTTTCACATTGATCCCTCTCCTTGGTATATGTAGACCGAATTGTTCCCTTTTAAATAACAATTTGAACAGTGTGGATAAATTTTGTACACTGTAAGCACTCCAGTGCATGATTTTTTTTTTCCCCAGATTCAGAGTCAGGATGTTCACTAGAAGCTGTAGAAGCAAGGTAACTAGACTTAACCCTTTAACCCTTCAGAGTGACTAGCATCTAATTTCTCCTTACAATATCACCCCTGAATCATGAAGTAAGGTCATGAGAATAAAGAAAATTATCAGTAGCTAAACAAGTTGTTGATTGTTACGCAAATTCTCTTTGTCAGCACCTTAGAGAATGTATAGAGAACAGTATGGAGAATACCTTTACTGATGTTAGAATATAAAGGGTTAACCTAATAATTACTTGAACTCCCAAGATCTCATTTAATTTAGTATACTCCTTACTGTCTACCATACAATTCTTTTGATGTTAGTTTGGAGAATTTGGCACTGGATCACCCTGTAATCCCCCTAATTGATTTTTTTTCTTTATTCTCATCACTTGTCTGCTTGATATTGTATCGATATTGTAAGGAGAAATTCTGTCTTGATCACTTGTGTTTAAAGAGTTATATGTATAAAGCCATGCAGGGAGAGCACTTTCTAATAACTTTAATGCTTCTAGCTCATTAAAAAAAAATTGGGAAAATGATTTGTAGGAAATCTTGTCACAGTCATTTCTATACCTTGTGCATTCAAGAAAATTTATCCTCCATATTTCTTTCTCATGCATTTCTTGGGTATTAGTTTATTTTTATTTATTTAAATGTTGTTACAGTAGCTTCTAAAAGCTTGGAAATTAAAAATGTTTTTGCTTCTGCTTTCCTGACAATTAATGCTGCATTTCATACATCTGTGTTACTTATTTCATGGGCCTTTTTTCTGTTTCATTGTATCAGGCTTCAAGCATTGGAAAAGAGTTTCATCTTAGAGAATGGAGAAGCATCTTCAGTTGTTAAAGATATAAAACTGAAAGTTGATTCCTTCAAAGAAAAGCTTGAGGTTTGTGTTAAATTTTCTGCTGATTAAAAGAATCTCACCATCAACAGAAAATAAAGGAAATTTTACCTGTTATTAGCCATTTCATCCAAGATCTGATTACAGTTAATTCTCCCCACTAGCTTCTACACATGCCCTTGTAAATTAGTTACAAGAATTTGGTATTGGATCGAGATGACAATATCCTCCTGATAGGTTTGAATATTCTCATCACCTGTTTGCAGGATAATATGTGGATTTTTTAAGGAGAGATTACATGCTGATCACCTCTGGGAGTTAAGTGAAGGGTTATAAACTTATATTATCTTTGTTTTTAAACTGAGCATAAAAAAATTTTTTTTTCTCATCCATGTAGAGTGTTGAACACCTTAGCTGGTTAGGCCTGTTTAAGGAAATGTCAAGGTAAAAACAAGTTAGAATATATAAATGATTTCTTAACTAATACATTTATTTCTGAGAGAAATACACAAGGAACTGATAAACTGATTGCTTTTGCTCAATTTTAGTGGTACTTCCAAGAGACCATCATCTGAGAAACACAGTTTACGAAGAAGAACTTCCACTGAACTGAATTCTGTGCTTGAGAAATTTAAAAAAATGTCGTAAGTGTTAATCTTGTACTATACAATAAGTTGAGTTATAAACGCATTTTGATCAGTTCTTCTTCATGATATACTAGAGAGCAGATGCATAGATGATGTCATCATGAAAAGTATTTGCTTTTTTTCATGATCAGATAGAAAACAAATACTTTAGTTACTTTTAAAGGTGGGTCTGTTCAGTTACTGTAATAGATCACAGATGACATCAAAATGTGGTGAAACCAAAACAGTGGCAGCAAGTGTGTCACTAAATGTCCTTGCCACATTTTTATGACTGTGTAGACCCAAGGCAACATGGAATTCATTTGTTAAATATTTAATATCATATCAAGATTATAACTGTATAAATGTACTGTGTATGCACATAAATACGTGTTGGACTTTTTCCCATTTTTTACAGGAATGCAGAACTTACTGATGAAACAAGAAACCTTTTAAGGAAGCCTTCTTTTGACAATTGGTAGGAAATTGTGAACTTTCACAGCTGCACATATATCAAGCACATTAAGTAATTTTAATGTAACTACAGGTTTATAACTAAACTACAGCATGTAACACATAACACAAGGCGTTACAAGAATGTCAGACTTCTACTAGAATAAATTGTGGCTATAAGACAGCTTTTTTAGAATGAATTTTTCCAGTGTACATATAAAAATATTGCCCTTAGTGGTTCAAGATCATACATTTCTGTTTTTTTTTCCTGTAGGCAATGGGAGGATGCAGAGATGTTATATCTGCTTCAACAGATGTACAAAGACTTAAACTTGACAGAAATATTTAACATTGAGGTAATATTACCTAAGGTGACTTTATTTTAAACAACATCAATCTCAGTATTTACATTTGTAAGTGTCCAGAACAGTTGTGAATTCAATTAAGTTTCTTTGATGTTTTGTATATGTAAACCCTCTTAGATTGTTGATGAATTTTCAAAATAGAGAAGAAGAGAGAACTTTTTTGGAGCCGAGGCATATTTTGTTTACAAGAGACAGTGTTACTCATAAATGTTTGCTCTTTTTTTTTCTAGATTCCCCTCCTTCAAAACTTCTTGTTTGAAGTTTTCAGGAATTACAATGCTACACCTTTTCATAACTTCCGCCATGCTTTCTGTGTGACACAGATGGTAAGAAAAGATGCAGAAATTTAATTCTCTTTGTCTTTCACATTTAAGGAAGTTGTGATGTGGAGAAACACTGGGTTACATAGTGAGGTTTATGCATTGCCATTGTTGTTTCAGATGTATGGCTTAATATGGTTGACGCAAATCCCAGGCAAGGTTCAAAATGTTGATGTTCTTGTGATGCTGACATCAGCTTTGTGTCACGACCTGGACCACCCAGGCTATAACAATGCATATCAGGTGGGACACTAAAACTTGGTTCGTGAATTATGCACCTATCATTTGTTTGGCCTAGGAGGAGGAGGAGGGGGGTTACTCACTGGAAATTTACTAAAAAGACCCTCTCTGACATTTCTGCACTGCCTCTTGGTTGGAAACTTTACCTGGCCGTCATCTTGAAATGAGAAAATCTAAAGAAAGTTTAATTTTTGTTTGTTGAAATTGATTTACAACATCATTCTGGTCCCTGGGGTAGAATTGTGACATATGATGGGAACCAAATGGCGGGAATGTCAAATTCCCCTGGGGTCACCACCCTCCCCTCCCTTCCCCATCCTGGGGTAACCCATTGATGGCCAATTCTGTTTAAGGATGTTTTTTTTAATTTGTATGGCCTTTTTCATGATAATAGCTGCCTATGACATCTGTGCAAGCCAATTGTAATAAAGAGAAAGGATTTGAAAGCCCTATACAGCTTTGCTCTTTTGCAGCAACCAACAGCATGTCTGATGAATTTCTTAATTTTGTTCAGGTCAATGCCAGAACAGAGCTGGCCATACGATACAACGATATCTCGCCACTGGAAAACCATCACTGCGCTGTGGCATTTGACATCATATCTCAGGTAAAGGAATGAATGTGGACAGGAGTTATCTTTTGGAGAAAATATGAATTTCAGATATCGTATTTTCTGGCAAAGGCACTCTTCCCCAAAATAGGCCACAACTCTTAAGCCATAATGTCAAACAAGTGCTCCTCTAGAATTTGCCCCCCCCCCCCCCCCCCCCCCCCGTTCGCCCCCAACTTTCTTAAATATTAGGGAAACAAGACAAACCTGTTTCTATTACCGCTTCACTTATAACTTTTTAAGCCTCGACTACAGCTGATTCTGTACATGAGAATAGTTTATTTTCCTTTATAGGTTATTTTCAGTTCTTTCTATCTCTTTACATTTTGTGCTTGCTGTTCTTCAGTGTAATGATGTAATCATTACTTTAAGTCTGAAAATTCAATCAACCCTCTTATAGAGAAAACTCGAGGCCAACCGATTGAGTAAAACCACGGTTTGGGTTAGACCTCGTGTAAATAACCGGCCCTTAAAATTCGTCATTTTATATTCTTTATAGCCTCATTGTGATATCTTCAAGAATATCGGCCAAGATGTTTTCAAGAAATTCCGGGAAGGAGTGATCAAGTAAGCATTGCCGTAGTCAATTGAAAAACTTATCTCCATTTTTATGTACATCTTTTCTTTCTGTTCATGAAAACCACAGCACTTGCTGACGATTTTGTTCTATTTGTAATGTGTTATCGTTTTTACAATGCTTTGTAGATGTATTTTGTCAACGGATATGGCAAGACATAACGAAATCTTGAATAAATTCAAAGATATGCTGGCTGATGGTTTTAACTTTGAAAACGAAGCTCACAAGTCCATGGTGAGGAGACATTTTTCAACAGTAACATGGTTAATCGTAAAAAAATCACAATGTCGTTGATCTATTTTCCCCTTGCCAAGTTGTTTTGGAACAATTTGTCATCGCACTGTTCAAATAAGCCAATCGCATTCAAAGTTTTAGTTTAAATCAACCAACCACAGTCATTTTCATTGTGGTCAATTCCAGAGCGACATTAAACAATTTACGCCTCCTTTATCTGTCTTTTAATGCAAATTTTCCCTTTTTTTCAGAACTTGGCTCTTCTTCTTTTCTCGGAAATTGTAATTTTTATGATTAATTGGCAATAAGTCTTCGTGTCGTCCAATTTGGTCTGTAATCATACTCGTGATGAACAAATCAGGCTCCCACTGCGCGGTCGTGCGATTTTGTTATCACTCGTATTTTACAGACCGAATTGGACTCAACTCAGTCCTATTACCATTATATATTGACAGCACAATAGCTAGAACTAATATATTCATACCCTTATTACGCGCAACTAAAGACGTGGTTTTATGAACGAAGAAAACCGTTGGTATGGAAAAGTGGAAAGGTGGCTTCTGAGAAAAAAGTTCAAATTAGCAATTTTTCCTTTATGTTGTTGCAGTCAATTTATTGATTTTGTTATGAAGCGTTTAGTTATTTTATAATCAGTAGATCAGTTAGTTGCAGTCAGTTCAGTATGATTTAATTTATCGTTTAGAAAGTGTCCAAATCCCGAAGTTATTTAGGTTTGAGCTGTCGTGACGAGTTTCCGAATTGAGACAGCCTTTTCTAACTGCTTCAAGTGGACGTGCTCAGTTTGTTTCCTGACCTTGCTTTGGACCCACGCGAAAGTTCTTGTTTTGACTAACGCAGTCAGAGGTTGACTCAGTTGATCGGAAGCATTATGATTAAGTACTTTGTTGTTCAGATCGAAAGTCTCGTGAAATTGTTTGGTTTAACGTTCTAACAACGGATGTTTGATCTCCCAAGGTTAGCCAGCTGGCATGCCCACCCATATCAGTCATTAGTGAATATATAAGCATGTTCCTTAGAGTTTACGTAGCAGAGAGTGGGGAGAAGAGAGAAAGAGAATAGAGGAAAGAGATGAATAGAAGAATGTAGACAGTGTGCTGTAGAATAGAGTCAGAATTCCGCTATTAAAGAAGTATCCTGTGAGAATCAGAGTGTGAGAGCCTAAGAGATTCACCAGAGTTACTCAGAATGAAATAAGCTTAGATGTAAGTGGAATTGTGTACTGGAAATCGGAGTAGTAAAAGAAAGCAGAAAAAAACAGCTCGAGAGTCTTGGTGCCTTTCGCCGGGCGTCTTGACTAATTTATTTTCTATGTTTATTGCAGTTAATGCAGATTATGATCAAGGTATCAGACGTCTCTAATGAGGCTCGACCAATGGAGGTTGCTGAGCCGTGGCTGGATTGCCTCTTACAAGAGTTTTTTATTCAGGTTGGTTTAATTAAAATGTAACAAGGACGGTACTTCTTGTTTTTTAGTATAAATGGTTCCGGCGGCAAAAAGGTTTTTAACTGAAGTGCGTATCAGAAAGAAAGAGCGGGAAAACGTGGCAAGATATTGGCGCAACACCATCAAAAGGGCGGGGAAATTAACAGCGTGCAGACAGCGCTGAAAAACATGAATTGGTTATAAAGTGCGCGAAAACTTGTAGCTGGAAAACGCTGAGATACTGCGATGAAACCGCAGGAGAACGTGTAACCTGAAAAAAGCGTAGGTGAAAACAAAGAATAGAGCTCGTTAGATAGCGCGAGGGAAGGAGGGGGAATACATTTCACCATGAACCAGTTAAAAGCGTGGGGAAATTTGTAACGTAAGGACAGTCTGGGAAAAATTTGAACTTTGTGCCTGTTAAAAGCTCGGGAATACGTATCGCCAGTTAGCGTGTAAAGAGCAGAGATCTTAATGAGCACTTTGGATGTGGAAGGTTACGGCTACCCAAACAATTTCTTTTTTTTTTTTCCTTTGTTAGAGTGATGTTGAAAAGCTTGAGGGATTGCCAGTGGCACCATTCATGGACAGAGACAAGGTTATCTTTCTTGAAGTAGTTGAAGTGCATTTTCATAAAAATGATCTATATTGGACAAGGTTTCCCTCTATAATACGCCGCACCAGATTGCAAACCAGCTCGCAATATTGTCGCACTAAGAGGTGCGGTGTATGTATTAGTTGCCTTTCGGGAACCCGAAAAGTGTCATTTGCTTTGCTACATTCACGTTACCAGTTTTGTTTGGACTGTTGCAGGTCACTAAACCGTCCGCTCAGATAGGCTTTATCCGATTTGTTCTGATACCATTGTTTGAGGCTCTTGGACAACTCTTTCCTGTTTTAGAGGTAACATATTTTTTTGTGTTTCTTTTCATGGACTTTACCTTACAGAGATTAATAACCGGTTTCACTTACTGAGGAAGTGAAACAAATATATCCTGTCGCTTCTAAAGCGAGGGAAAGCTAAAGCGCGGGAAAGCTAAAACGCGTTGTACATGGTAGGCTCCTCTGAGCACGGGAAAATTTTCAGTCGTGAATGGATAGTGATCGAATTTGATTGGCCAGAAGCATATCATTTATTTACCACTGATTAACGCAAGGTGGTTACTAGTTAAGCAACTGGTCTGCCTCTTGCTGATCTGCTTCCTTTGAAAGCAATTTGTTTATATACAATTTTTGTGTCCAATTTGTTCGTTTTAGCCGTGAAAAGCCTCATTGGGGGAGTGGTCAGCTGAGTATACTTGCATACAAGGCTTAGAATCGAAAATGTGGTCTGAAATTAAGAGCAAAGATCATTATTCGTATTCTTAAAGGAAGGCGTTTGGTTTTTTTCAGGAGCCGCTAATCGCGCCGGTTCGCAAGGCTCTTAATTACTACACCCACATGGGCAAGACAATGGAGGAGGAACTCAAGAAACAGGAGAAGAAACACTCCAGGGAAGAAAATCAGGAAAAAATAGAAACGATACCGCAAAAAGTTGACAAAGAGACGGCTGAGGATAAACAGGAGTCTATGGAAACAAAGGAAGAAAAACTCTTGCTTAAAGAACAACAAAAAGACAATAATGTAGAATCCCAAGAAAACCTCAAGCAACAATAGGTACCATAAAGTATCTTGGGTAAAGGAGCCTGCGTCCGTTGTTATCAGCGTCGTAGCTTAGCAACGAGTCAAGGGCGGGTTTCGTAAAAGCTTTATTTGGATGGAAATATTGGCGGGGCTGAAGACTGTCGAATGGTATATGTGCAAATATTAGTTCAAACTTTTATGTAGGTTATAAAGTTTGAGCACTTTTTATTGCTCGACGAAAGAGTTAATATAGTAGAACTTTATTTTGGAGGTAGGATTTTACACCTAAAAGAATTTCTTCGCTTACGATAGTCGGCCGCATATGAGAAACCATCCAATGTCACTTTCAAATTCTCTTTTCTGATTGATCGATTATGCGCGGAATACACTTCGTTGTTATTCTTAGTGGTTAGGCTTGTCCCGATTGTGCTTGTAAAATGCTGGAAAGTTGGTCGCTGGAATGCCTTAAAGTTGCTTTAAAATTGTCAAAAATCCAAAAGTTGCTGCCCAAATTTCAAAGTTGCTGCGTGAATTTGTTGATATTTTTATGTAAACATTAATTAATGGTTTTCTTTTTTTTTTCTCGCAATAATTGCCAACATCAGTCAAGCAAAATAGTATGAAACTTAGGTCGTAAATATGGGCGAAATTTCAGGATATTCATCAGGCTAACGGAACAAACACGTGATTCATATGGCGTCTTACCAAACGAAACGTTCTCAAGTGACAGGTTATTTGTTCCAAAGATTAATAAAAGTTCAAAAAAATTTGCAGAAATTGAAATTTCTATGAAGTCGTCGACGTTTTTCGTGCTTGATATGTTATTCTAAACCTACATTCCGCCTAAAAATTGGTCAGAAATACAAGAATTTCTCAGAGTTGCTAGAATCGCAAAGAGTGGTTCCAAACGCTAAGAGTTGCTCATAATTTACCGAGCACAATCGGGACTGGCCATTAGATGGTCATCACGTGACTTGCATTTACCGCTGAGCCGGCGTCTTTTTTTGAGGTATTCATACAGTGTATATTTACCACATATTTATTAAGGAACCAATTTCGATGGTATTTTCATACCCAAGCGTTCGTTACAACATCGAAAGCAGCAAATTCGTACAGAATCATTTACGAATTCTTAGTTCTATACATGTATGCGTAGCAGTCTACATCTTAAAATTTACTTGTCTAAGTTGTTCTCAGAAAGAAAATTTTGCAGTTGATAAGTGGCTGAATTAGGAGCACAAAAACACTACTGAATATCAGGAGAAAAGCACGTCTAACTTACGGACAAGTGCTTTTAGCGTTAGAGAAGATTAAAATGCTCTCTAACGCGAAGAAACCATTAGTATTAACGAGTATGACTTTAGTTCGTTGGAAAAGTCTAGATAATTATTTGGCTTTGCGTTTTGTTGCTAATAATTTTTCTTTCCGCGTCCATTGATATCAAGGCAGTCTAAGGTTTTCTATTTTCGCTAACTTCATGGAGGGAAGGAAGGAGGGGTGCTGGGAAGGAAGGAGGGGTGCTGCGGGTGGAGGGCACTTTCATGCCCGTGCGCAATCCTCTTACATGAGAAATTACTTAGAAAATAACCTCTGTCTTACGACTTTGCCTATTATGTAAGGGGTTTATTTTTGGTGCTATTAAACTCAAGACACAAGTGTGTTTAGTTGCTGTGTTTATTCCTTGATTAAGTAATGATCACAGGGTGAAGAAGTCGTTGGCCGAGAAAGAAAGAGAACATGAGTAGTACCATTTCTGTAGAGTTATTTTTAAACCAGTAACTATTCAAGGTTATTCTTTCCAAATTACATTACACGCGCAAATGAGATATCACGCGCGCAACAGCGAGACGGATGCTTACTTGTTATCCGTGTGTTGGGTATTTCGCTTTCAGTGTTTGGTTATTTCGAACACGTAATCCACGAGAAACACAGAAATTCCCATGCCGAGAAGAATTCCGACTTGTAAAAACATATAGCCGATACTGGTCGCCAGGCCCTCTTCTTGCTTCTTTCCCACTTTTCCTGGGGCCAATAGCATCATGGCAGCGCACAGTCCGTAGCCATTGACCAGTCCGAGCAGACCAACTGTAAGATAAGCCACCCAATTAGCTTGCAGTTTGCGATCACATGGCTCGAAGTAAATAAGCAGGATCGGTATAGCAATAACAAGCTGAACCAAACAATTGCCAAGAATCGATTTCTTGTTGTAGAAGATTCCGAATATTGGCAGGTTTTTTCCAATAGCGTCTGCAACCGAGTAACAGCCGAAGAGAATGACAATAAACCAGCCCGTCTGGTCGCTAGACTTTGATGCGCTGCTCGGTGAAACGGGGGTTGTAGGATTATCAGATGACAAGGTGGTGACGTTGTGAGAAGACGAACAGTTGTAATTCCCGTGGAACTGAGAGGTGATTCCCGGGAATAAAGCGTTAGATATCACAAGAGTCAAGCAAACCGTTGCAAGTGCAGTCCAGTTATTTCTGATCACTCTTTTCCGGGAGACGTCGCTGTAATCATCGCTGCGGAGCAAAGGCTGCTGCTCTTTGTTATCATAGGAGGTGTTTAAACGTCCTGCTTGCGCATACGCATTTGAGTTGACTTGCGCCCTCAAGATGGCGATGAGACAGCACGCTATAAGAATTATCAGATCCACCAACGCGACGAATAAATATCCGCTGAGACGAAAACCTTGATCTCTGTCTCGAAGATGTTCAAACGACCCTTTGGAGATGCACCTGATGATAAACGTCGCCGCGAAAGCGCAGACACCGCCGGACTGTGCCGCGTGAATTCCAAATTTCGGAAAATGCTTTCCAACGAAGCCGTACAGAGCCCCACCGCCGACGTTTTGAACAACGGTTGCCACAAAGACAACGGCAATCACTGAACCAAAACGAGTTGGATTAGATAAAGCGTTTGCGTTCAATGGAGTAACGACTACTTCTATTACCAGGAGAATCGCAGAAACTGTTAGCGTGACAACAAGTATAGTCAGATGGCTTCTTTTGGGTTGAAAAAATACCGTTAAAACCGCACCCAAGCTTGCACCAACGCCGACGGTGACTCCTAAGTAGACTTCAGGTTTGTACTGATCTGGGAAAAAGTAATTGAAATAATCCGCTGCATTGAAGGTAAAAAACACCGCGCTTTGAACCGCGGCGCCAAGGAACCAGCAAGAGAGGTAGAGCTTCCAGGGAATTTCCATACTTACTCTGTTCCGTTAACAGCTGCACAGTCTCTAATTTCGAACAGAAACCACGATTCGCGTCCTGGTTATGTGCAGAGGTGAATCCGGTAATGTGCGAGAATAAAATACATTGAGGTATTATTTACTTAGCTGGAATCGTTCTCGGAATTACGTGATTTGACATGTTTCATTTTTAAGCTGTTAACTGTGGTCAAAGTTCGAGTAAATTTCGTGGAAATGGGCTATACACATAGCCCCCGGGGTACGTATTTTCAAACAAAGTAACTGCTATTAGCTGCGTGGGAGTTTTCCGAGAAGTATGACGCAATAATTATTATGGCAGAGACTTCCGTTCCAGAATCGTTCCAGATCTGTTGTAATAAGTTGTGCTTCTTCTGTTTCATCACCTTTAATCCTTCGCTATCTCTTGGCTCCTTATTGTTTCATTCTTGCTTCTTTTCTACCTTGGAGCGACCATTAAAATTTTTTCACTTTTTTTCACGATGTTCTGTTTTATTTTACTCAAAGACAACTCCAAGTGACGCAAACCTTGGACTTGAGTGCTGTGACGTTATATTCTCGGGGGAATATAAATCAAGGAAAGCTGAATCCGTGGTGGAAACCCCTTTCAGTTTTTGCAGAGCTCTGGTGAAACGAATCGGTATTTTTATTTTCCCTCCGTTTTGGAAATATTGAATGTGAAAAATGCTGATTAAACAGACGGAATAGTTTCTCTTTTGAGCTCTTTTCAACAAGTAACATAATTCTGTTTAATACCATCGAGATCTTTTCATCTTGCTCGCTCTTCTCGTGTCTAAAACCGGAAATTTATATTTCCATTTCAGTTTCCTAAAACGGTCTATTTCAGAATGAACTGTGCCGAGGCTCAAAAGGTTTTTAAAAACAGGAGTTAAGTGCCAGTTGAAATGTTAAGCGAACGGTCCTAGGATTTTCTGTTATTTAATTCTTAAAATTTCTCGTTTCGTGATAACTAGTTTATCAAACTCGCTACATTATCAATTCGCGAAAAACACAGTTCTATTTCATATCGTTGGTGATGCATTTTAAAGGTAGTAGATAACCGCTTGTGCCGACAAAGGTGTCAGGGACTGAGCAATCGATACATTGAGTCAGTGAGACAACACATCTTGAATGTGGTGCAGATAATTTATTGGTTGTTAGCAACAAATCTTGTGACAGCTTTTTACAATGTTGTGTTAATGTGTGCAGACATACCAGATATCATAATTTTCGAAAGATCTACATTCATTGTAATTACTGATCGACTACGGGTCAATTGCGTTTTTTTTTTCCAGAAACTTTACCTCTATTCTTATCTTAAACATTATTTAATGCTGTCCTCGACTTGATGGCTTATATCTAAAGTATGTCATTCAAAAACGACAAAACCTAAAGATGGCTTTTCAACACCATCATAAAACCCACCAAAGAACCTTTCTAAAACTGGCCAGGGACGATGATACACAAAAACAAAATTATTGCAATCTTTATAAATGTTCGGTACTGCTAAAAAGAAAGCCAGCTCTTTCAGAAGATACTGCACCCCTTCGTCCAAGTCTACGTTACTGTCGGCCTCAGCTGATTTGTTTTCCTCATCAGAACCTCCCTTCTCACGGCCGTTTTTGAGACATCTTAATGCCACCACGGTAGATTGTCTAACGTCGTTGTGAAAGTCATCATTCACTTCGTACAGGTTTTTGATGTTCTCTAACGCTTTTTTGTATTCATGACAGCTTTCCACCTCCTCTGTCCACCTTATGAAGCTGTGGGACACATCGCGAAGACCGCTACTTTGGATGGCTTCATTGCATTTGTTTCGCAAGCGATTGCATTTGATACGCGCGGACTTCTCGGGGTTCTTGGAACCTACAGCACGATAGTTGTGTTCGGATATTTTGTCCGGAATAAAAAGAAAGACCTGCAAAAAAAGGGATGATTCTTAGAGAGGCGTTTAGTTAATTCATCCGTGTTGACGAGACATACTCCAAAAGTAATTCTCTCAGATGGATCGTATAAAATGAACTCACCTTTTCCGAGGTCCTTCCGGCTAAATCGAACAGCCGTTCGAGGGTTTCTATCTTGTAATAATGCGGATTGCCAGGGCTGATACCAAGAATCACAGTTCTTTTTCGAAGCTGATATTTTTCACCGTTCAGAACAGCCTGAGAAATGCTCATAATTGAATGCCGGCGTTGATATGTCGTGCACTCTGTGCTCGTCAAGTACTGCCCTCGGCTTCGATGGAACGGTATCCGCCAGCCTCCACATTTAAAACCACTCGATTTGGTGCCATTTCTTAGTAATCAGTTTATTTTCGGAAATGATTATAAGTATCGATCTGTCTGAACCTGCACAACGAAACAAACAACAAACAAAAAAAATGAAAGAACCTGATGATTTAGAAGTCACGAGTTCTCTAAAAGTTCCGGTGGATAAATTTCCGGGAAACTCGGATGACGTGGCTATTGTAATTAAGAAGCGAATGATTCCTTTTTGCACAACAGTTTTGCTGAAAAGACATCGCAAGCGATGGTCCTTTAGAGAATTTGAGAGCTCCTACAGGTTATAAATCTCGGAATTGCAAAATTTCCAACTCTCGGCCTAAGATTGCACTAACTAAAAGACAATCACAATCGCGTGCATTTGTGCAGGATTTCAAAATGCTCGAAGAATGGAAAGCACTTGGTTTAGTCACCTCTTTGCTTGTAATACTGTTTCTCACGCGGTCACTTTTGTATCGAAGTATTCAGGTAAGTATTTATTATCACTAGTGAAGGTACCTCGTGTATTTTATTTTCTTGATTCCTCCAATAATAATCACTGCCAAACAATCACTGTCCGACAAAATGTTTTGATACACAGCTTGGGTAGAACAGGAGAGTCCATAACGTACGGTTCACAGACTTTCGCACTAGGGGGCACGAAAGTTTCTCTGTGCATAATTCTAAAGACAACTTTTCGTTAATCTCGAAATGAATTACGTCGCCTAAAACTTGAGGGATTAAATCAAATTAGATCGATGTTAAAATAAACGTCTTTCATAGAGGTCATGCGCGCCGTGATCCCGTTTCTGTGCAAAGAATCGTTGGAACAAAATATTCTCAGGAGCCGACTTGACACGACTAGAGGCAACGCGAAATTTGTAGTAAGCTGAAAAAACCCGGAATCCGGAATTCCGGCTGAATTTAAGACTCCGAATATTTTCAAAAACTTCCGAAAATTTTCCTAGAAATTTCCGAAGATTATCCGAAAGTCTGTTTTTGTTTTTCATTCAATTCAATAATTCAAATGAAGTAATTTTTTTATTTAGAGTGATTAATCGGCACCGATGATACACCCAAGATTTTCCGAATATTATCAAACATTACCCGAAATATCCGTGTTTTTCTATTTTTTTAAATTCGCTTTTTGACAAAAGCTTGAACAGTTTTATGGAACGAATGTTTCAATGAACGTTCTCAACAAAAAGTGTTGGCGAGCGTCATAACGCTTTGCATTGATTGAAATGCGATACTATTTATTAATAGATGCCTTATTAGATAAAGTCATTTGCGGCGAGCGGCAAACCTCAAAAAAAAATAAAGCACTTTTACCGAGCATATATAGCTTAGCCTTTTGTAAACCAAAGAGGATAAACGGGAAAGTGAGTATAATCAAAGGTCATTATTTTTTCATTTGACCTTACGGGAAAAGGAACACCCTCCGACCCTAAAGTCCCTTAGATTATTGGAACGTAAAAAAACATCCGGTCAAGAATTACAATTTGTTGTAGTTCATCTCAAGTCACGATTTGAAAAATCGCTGGCAAAAACAACAAAACAGGAAACTCAATCACGCTTAATATGTTGACAAGCAGCGGAGGAAATTTAAGAGTTGGTCAGCAAAACAGACATTATTTCTTTTCAACGTATTTCAGCGACTTCGGGCTGACGGTGAAAGAGCGAGGAGAGCCACAAGAACGAGATACGTGCGAGAGGCGCGCGTGGAAGAACGCGTGGCGGGGCGAAAGGGTGGGCGCGTGGCTCATTTATTCCGTGCGTGCATAGGAGACCATAACTTGTGACTCAAGAGGTAGATGGCCTGGCTCTTTTATTCCACGCTAGAGGAGGAGTGTTCCTCACGTTTCCTAAGCCTTCGCCCTAACGCTTTTATCTTCACTCGCCTAATAAAAAGCTATGTAAGTGTGTACTCAGTTTTACCCGCTTGAGTTATCTATATATTTTATTGTTTGAAGGTTGCACTAGTTTACTGGCGAGTCCCATGGAAAAATGCCAAAGGAGAACGAATGCGAGGAGAATTGCCACACCTACCTTACGGGCACTTTCACCAAGTGAATTTCTTTGGTCGACCGCTGTCCAAGATACACGGCCCAATTTACTACATCTGGCATTGTCTGACACCAGTTGTGTAAGTATCTTTTGGTTTAATCCATTCCTAAATTTCTAAACCTCATTACAAGAGGTGCAATCACTCGTTCCTCTGCAGGGGTACACCTGGATTGTAATCTTAATTATGGAGACACGAAAGGACTGCCGATAATTTTTCAACCAATACACAGTTCTTCAAAGGAAGAATGAGTTGATTAAAATGCAGTTCTGCTTTGTAAATCACCGTTTCCAAGGCTGGTTTTCAGAAATGAAAACAAAAACGCGTCGAAATGCTTTAATTGGTAGTTTCAGGTGTCTCTGATTTATATAACATTCAATCATGACAAAACTGGTTTATTAATGTTCGGCCCTACTGCTCGCCATATTTGGGAATGAGCCGTTAAGATGTCTACTGAAAATATTTGTAACGCCTTTACCAGGATCTCTCATTATTTATCGCCTGGGGCAGGCCAGAGGATTTTGGTTGTGTCATAATACAATTTACCTAATGACCCTTTAT